TAAAGTAGTTTTTCATATTTTTTTAATAGGTGTGAAATCACCTTGGATTGCAACAACCACCACCATATATTATATATAATATAATAAGTAGAAATTTAATCATCAGAACATGTTTTAGTTCAAATTATGATCATGTGCTGTAAGGATGTCGGCCATTATGCACTAAAAAAAAAAACACGCAATGAGAAGATGGAGGTGAATCTCTGAGTGTTGCGCGCATTATTGCTAGGAAAAATAGGAAAGATATCGTTATTGAATGTACAGAAAAAGAAAGATTTTAATATTTAAAAAACAAATTTTAATCAATATTTTTTTATCTGTTTTATTTTTAAAAAATTAAAAATAAATTATTTTAAAATTATATTATTTTAATAAAATATTACAATAATAAATAAATGATACATTAATTCATACTTTAAAAATAAAACATTTTAGTCATTTTCAATGTAAATTTATTAAAATTACATAATTTTAAAATAATTTTTTTTAATTTTTAGAAATAAGTACTATTCATTAAAATATATATATAAATATATATTTTTATTATTAAATCATATAAAAAATAAATTTTAATTTTAATTTTAATTTTAATTTTAATATTTAATTAATTAAATTAAAATATATGACATTAATAATAAATTAATGTTAATTTAATTTACTTTTTATATAATTTAATAATTAAAAAATATATCAATTCCTTCTCAATACATGTCCTTAAAATAAAGTTAAAAAAATCCTTAGAAAAAACAGAGTTAGGACACTCAATTATGGTGGCAGTCAGAAAAGTTTTTTAGGGGTAAAAAGAAACTTTTATTAAAAAACTGTGATTATGTGTTTTTCATTTTTAACATGTTTACAAGGTCGGATTGGAACGATTGTTTAGGGAGAGAGAAATGTATTTTAATGTGATTTTGTTAGTACTGGATTTAAAAGTCAAGTGTAAATGTAATTATGTGTTGATAAAAAAAAAGTTGATAAAAATTTAATAAAATAAATTTATTTTAAATAAAATCTATTAGTCTTAAAAGGATAACTAA